CTGGGGTGTATAGGGAGCTGGGGTGTATAGAGAGCTGGGGTGTACATGCAACTGAGCTGTATAGACAGCTGGTGTGTATAGAGAGCTGCGGTGTATAGGCAGCTGGGGTGTACATGCAGCTGAGCTCTATAGGGAGCTGGGGTGTATCTCTATCTGGGGTGTATAGGAAGCTGAGGCGTATGGGCAGCTGGGGTGTACAGGGAGCTGGGGTGTACATGCAGCTGAGCTGTATACACAGCTGGGGTGTATAGAGAGCTGGGGTGTATAGGGAGCTGGGGTGTATCGGCAGCTGGGGTGTATCTTTATCTGGGGTGTATAGGCAGCTGTGCTGTATCTTTATCTGGGGTGTATAGGCAGCTGGGGTGTATCTGCAGCTGGGGTGTATAGGGAGCTGGGGTGTATGGGCAGCTGGGGTGTATAGGGAGCTGGGGTGTATCTTTATCTGGGGTGTATAGGCAGCTGGGGTGTATCTTTATCTGGGGTGTATAGGCAGCTGGGGTGTATGGGCAGCTGGGGTGTATAGGGAGCTGGGGTGTATGGGCAGCTGGGGTGTATAGGGAGCTGGGGTGTACGTACAGTTTGGACCCAGTTGGCGGTGGAGGGTAGGGGGAGGGGCTGTATTGCTTCGACTGCTTTTTGTGCTGCTTCTAGGGCTCTGAGCTGCGTCAGCATGTCTTGCTGCTTCTCTTGCATGCGTTTCTGTTCCTGCTCATCCTGCTGCTGCTGCTGCTGCTGCTGCTGCTGCAGGAGGAGTTGCTGCTGCTGCTGTTGATGCGTTAGGATTTTCTGCTGCAGTTCCTGGCGTCTCGCTGTCAGTGCTGCTGCTGCTGCTGCTGCTGCTGCTGCTGAACCCTCACCCACTGTCTCTAGCAGCCTAGCAGCAACAGAATTTAGAGCAGCAGCAGCAGCAGGCTGCAGCAGCTTGACTATCTGCGGCTCCCCAATACGCAGACACCGAACGAAGGTAACAGAGAGAAGAGCTCGTGTGTTCAACCACTGCGGCAACTGCTGCTGCTGCTGCTGCTGCTGCTGCTGCTGCTGCTGCTGGGGGGAGGAGACTTCGTCTGCTGCAGCAAGAGAAGCAAACTTACGCAGCAAAGCTGCTGCTGCTGCTATCCCCAGACAAGACACACGCACAGACGGATGCATCGCCACCCGCAGCACGCCGCTGTTCAATAAGGCCCCCAATACTGCAGGGTCAAAGCTACGAAGCACCTGCAGCAGCAGCAGCAGCAGCAGCAGCAGCAGCAACAGCAGCAGCAGCAGCAGCAGCAGCAGC